TTGCTCCGTGTTCTTCTTAGCGATTGGGCTGTAGGCCTTGTTACCAAGGCCTACCTCCCTGCAGTATGGTCTATGGGGGGCCCGTAGGGTTCCCCTTCGACACTGACCCTCTCTCACGTTGAGACCTAGAAGCAAGGGTTGCGGAAACAAACGCTGAGTAAAACTTGTCGGACTACAAGAAACCTACGCCCCAGAGGCTACGGCGTTTTTTCTCACCAACGTGATCGAGTTTTTTCACCCGCACCCCGAGCTTTACAGCCTTAACGACGAAAAGGGTCAGAACGCATTAACCTTTTTATACAAAAAGGGGAGAAGGGCTAAAAATATGTTTGGTCATAACAAAATTTAAGAGCTTGTCCATTTATTACAAGTTCATCGTCTGACTTATCTGCCTAACTAATTTCTTGGGCGAGATGATCTCATGCTCTATCTCCGCAAGTAAGTCCTATGCCAGTGGGTTACCCAAGTCGATCGGACAGCTCGGCCCACTGCCGAGAGATGGGTAAGGAGTAGTAGAATGCCCCATGCGGGTTATGCCAACTCCGTCATGAACGACGGACTCAGATTCCACTCGGACATATCTGGTAAGAGCTCCCCAAACCCGTCACTCGAGCCATCGAGGTAAGTCCTGTACCAGTGGGTCACCTAAGTCAATCGGACGTCTCGGGCCACTGCGGAGAGACGAGTAAGGAGCAGCAGGATGCCCCATGCGGGTTACGCCGACTCCGTCACGAACGACGGACCCGAATTCCACTCGGACATATCAGATAAGAGCTCCCCGAACCCGTCACTCGAGCCATCGAGGTAACTTTCCCAACCCCCTCTTTACTTTTCCAGTGCATGATCATTCATTCATCCATTCTCATACATCCAAGCATCACATATGCAATTATTGCATCACAACGCTTTGCATCGCATCACGAAGCAGTAGTCGTCTCATTCGATATGAGCGGTGACCGACCGAGGTTCGAAGGCTGGCCTACGAAGGGCTCGAGGCCGCCTCGCGTCGAACAGAGCCAGGGGAGAAAACACAGATGAGCCCCAGCGGCCCTTGCGCAACCCGCTCAGAAGCTGACAAGGTCATCTCGACATTCTCGTTCGATCCTAACCTTGAGCCATACCCACAGAATCTCCATCGAGGGGAGGCTAGCGGGCCACCTGAGTCGGTCTCCGGAACGACTCAAGCATCTGCTAGGAGGTGAGTTAAGGAGCAGTGGAATGCCACATGAGGGCTATGCTGACCCCGTTACGAACGATGGACCCGGATTCCACTTGGACATACCCGTTAGCGAGCTCACCGAGTGCAACACTCGAACCATTGAGGCAAGTGACGTTAGCTCAACCCCTCCGGTTGTGGAAACTACGGGTGGGGTGACGATCACAAAGATGAGCCGACCCTCGATCGGACCCCCGCTACGCGCGGGGGCTCGAGGAAAGTTGGACTCGCAAGGAGACCGAATGCGTGGTCATAGAACGATGGCTCAGATCCTAGGAAGGGGGTATGTACGAAAACTAAGAATAATGTTTCTAAAACAAGAGACGCTTTCTTCTGCTAGTTTTGCTATTGTCTCCTCGATCTTTAGTGAAACCCAACCCCGGCAATGGCAAGGGATCAGGTCTCACTCGGGGGCTGATGAGGGTATATATATACCTTTTTTTGAAATAGTCGCCATGCTCGACCTCTTTCTGACGTTAAAATCCTAGAGGCAAGGTTTGTGGAAACGAACGACTGAGTAAGGCTAGTTGGACTGCAAGAAACCTACGCCCCAGCGCCTATGGCACTCTTGCTTACCAGCGTGATCAGAGTTTCTCACCCTCACCTCGAGCTCTACAATCTTAACAACAGGAAGGGTCAGAGCGCTTTACCCCTTTTTACACATAAAAAGGGGAGAAAGAACAAATTTGTTCAACCGAAACGAAAGAACAGATTTGTTCAAACGAAACAAAAGGGATGAAACTTGTCCGCTTATTACAAAAATGACTGCCCGACCTATTTAACTAACTAGCCCCTCTGGGGGAGAACTATGCCTTTTATCCTGTCCGCCAGGTCCTGTGAAAGGGGAGCCACCGCCGTTTCCATCTCCTCCAGCTCGTGGACTTCATAAACGGGCGCGTAGCCATGGCTCGTCGCCTCTAGATCGATGTTGTCCCCATAATAAGAACAAGCAATCATGAAGGACTGACTGACCCCAGCGTGAAGGGCATTCCTCTCGAGCTGGCGCACCCGAGCCATGATCTCGACGGCATGAGCCACAAACGAGCCGGTCCCCTCCGACCGCACCACCTCAAGGGCACCTTTAGAGTGAGGGTGGAAAGGGATGGGCCTGCTAGCGGCCAGTACCTGGGCGCATGAGCGCCGCCGGCATCCTGGCCCACGTTCGAGTCCTGTCATCCTCGAAGAAAGGCAGAGCCCTCGGGACCGGTCGAACGGACCCGAGAACTATATGGATTGACCGCTGAGAATCTGGAGTCGGTCACCAGCTAACCCAAGTCGGACCCCCGCGAACGGGATGCCGGGGCCCCTCTCGGTCTAGCCCGTTAACAGCTCACCGAGCACCATGATTCATCCATAGAGAAAAATCATGGCACGGCTCAGCCCCTTCATTTTTATCAGAAAAAATGCTTGATGGAAGACGATCACAAAGATGAGACGACCCTCGATTGGACCCCTGCTATGGGCGGGGGCTCGAGGAAAGTTGGACTCGCAAGGAAACCGAACGCACGGTCGCAGAACGACAGGCCCCCGTAGGGTCGGAATCAGGAAAGACCTTTTTTGACCCACCAAATCTCACGGCTATACCCCCAAGGGGTCCGGTCATGACGAAAGGGAATCGCCGTCCCCAGGACACGCCGTGCGCGACAAAAGAAGGCCAAGGCCCTTAGAGTCCTCCCATTCGAAAAAGCCTCCGAATGAGTATTCTACTCTTCCGCAGGCTTGGGGGCCACTGTCGGGGACCAATACTAGGGTATCCAAAGAAGAGGAGCTAATGGTCATCAACATTGATTCATCTGAGCAGTCAAGAGCGCGACTACAGCTCCAACCGACCCCTAGGTGTGCAGGCTCTGCCTCGCCCGACCTCTGGGGGCGGGCTCCGCCTCGCCCGATCTCTAGGTCAGGGCCCCCGCCTCGCCCGACCTCTAGGTCGGGGGCTCCGCCTCGCCCAGCCTCTGGGTCGGGGGCTCCGTCTCGCTCGACCCCTCAGGCGTAGCTCTTGATGGAAGCCCGTACTGCCGCCAACCACTACGGGCTAGAAAGTACAACCCAAGGTCAAACTTCTAGCATCGTGCAGGGAGCGGACACATCTCAACATGACCCGTGCTCGCGACATGTCACTCCAGGGAACTCACATCACCAACAGTGATGGACGCGTGGTCACTATGCTGCCTACTCCCTGTACGGCCGCTGACCAGCACGCTGGTTCGCCGCGTCGCCCGCCGGGACGAAATGGGACGTCGCGACCCGCTGACAACGCCAGGACGTGGCATCAGCGGCGAACAGGCGCCCGACGTGGAGCCGTCCCTGTCACCATCTGCAGTGTCGGCGGGACCCGCATAAAGGAGAAGAAAGGTCCGGCGGTCCTGGAAGCCTTCCTCTCCTTGGCTCTTCTCCCTCTTTCTCTCTGTGTAACATGTTCTTCCCCCTTCGTCTATAAAAGAGGAAGCAGGACGCCCCAGGAGAGGGGTCGGCGGTTCACCACTCTACACGGCTATAGACATCAAAACACACGCCCTAATACGCCTTAGGAGCACACGCACATCAGAGACTTGGGACATGTCCCTCTCTCATCTGTTTGTAACCTCTACTACAAACTTTCAGCGCTAGTAACACGAGCAGCAGTGACGTACTGGACGTAGGGACTTTCTGCCCGAACTAGTATAAACTCGTGTCCTATAAGCACACTATCCGAGCCAAACACGCAATACTAAAAATTTACTAGTTGGTAACTCGAAACACCGACTATTAGACTTTAGAATTCGATTAGAACTCCTATTGCCAAAAGACATCACGTCGTGTGGTGAATGGTGAGAACTCCTTATTGCCAAAAGAGCATGGAGGATGAAGACCCGTATCGTGAATGGCACATCCTCTGATCTTGTGGCGAAAAGGGCAGCATGAGAGCATTTTTCTCCAAATCACAGTTTTGCACTAGGCTGTGCACATGAGAAAGAGACGAAAAAAAAAAAAATCCATGCATTTCCGCGCTGTATGTCTGTAGAAGTAGAACCTCATGAAATTCCACCCTGCGGTAACCCAAAAAGGACACGATCGTACGAACAGATCTGATCTACAAGCAAAGGGGCTGTTTGCTGGTTGATTTCTAGACTGGTTTAGACTGGCTGGTGCTGATTTGTTATGAAAGAAAAACACTGTTAACTGACTGGTTTGGGCTGACTGAAACCGACAAACGAACAGGATCAAAGCCTTACCGGTCAACCAAAGGCCAGAGGAGAGCAGCCGAGGAGGGAACGAAGAACACAAGAGAAACAGAGTCGGAATTCAAGCAACGAAACCGGACAAAGGCTACGCTAGCAACCAGGGTGCCTCCGCCACGTGGCCGCTCGGCCGTCCGACGTGGCGCGGCGGCCGTTCGCGCCCCCCGCTTACGCCGCCGATTCGCAGAGTTCGTTCGCGCAGAGAGAGGAGGAGCAACGACGACAACGAACAGAGGCGCGCGGAGCAACAAATCGGAGCCCGGAACCGAGCGGGCGCGCAACCACCACACGTGACCTCGCCTCGGCTCCGCGCCTGTGGAAACGCAACGCAAGGTGATCGATCTCCCGCCTCCTCCATCATCCGTCCACGGTCCACCTATATCCGCTCCGTTGGTTTCGTCGCCTCCGTGCGTCCTCCCCAAACGAGAAGGGTTCGTTGGTGATCTCCCGCGTTGTCGTCCATCACGTCCGTGCTGGTGGACAACGTGACCGGGGAGCGCCACTGGGTGTGCGTGTCGGAGCCCGTGCAGGGCCGCGTCCACACGGAGCGCCGCCTGCACCAGTTCATGCACGACGACCGGGACTACGAGTCCGGCCCGGCCCCGACCCCCGTCGACGAGGAGCTCTTCAGCATGGGCGACAAGGCGGCGACCGCGCGGACGGCCCGCCGCGGCGCCGTGACGCGCGTGTCCATCGACAGCTGGGAGGAGCGGGGCTACGCCGTCGTCAAGATGACGAGCAGGGACCGGCCCAGGCTGCTCTTCGACACGGTGTGCTCGCTCACCGACATGCACTACGTCGTCTTCCACGCTACCGTCGGTTCCCAGGGGGCTCTTGCCATTCAGGTATCACCACGTGTGTTTCTCACCTCTTGTCAGTACGTGGGTGCCCATGTTGCATTGCATCATCACCCTTGGAGTCTGACATTGTGTCATCCTTGGCATCATGGACGCAGGAATATTACATCCGGCACAAGGACGGGCGCACGGTCGACAGCAGCGCCGAGCGGCAGAAGGTCTCCCGGTGCCTCGTGGCCGCGGTGGAGCGGAGGGCCACTCATGTCAGGCTCGCTCGACCATTCCTCGCGGCTGTATGTACTTGTCATCGGGCGCCCACCGCCTCGTCTCACTAACGCACGGCGTTGCACGTTGCAGGGCGTGAGGGTGGAGGTGCGCGCCGCCGACCGGTCGGGGTTGCTATCGGATTTCACCAGGGTGCTGCGGGAGCACGGCCTGTCGCTGCTGAGAGTTGAGCTCAAGAGGCACAAGGACGAGGCCTTTGGCATATTTTACCACGTCACGGACACCGGCGGCGAGGTGCGCACTGAGGCATTGCGCGCTGTGCAGGCGAGGGTCGCCGAGATGGACATCTCGCTAAACGTTGTGAAGGAGGCCCCTGGCTGGCCGCCCGTGAGGAAGACCAGCGTGCCAGCCCCACCCGTCGCCGGGCTCAGCCTCAGGAGAGGCCCAGACCTTCCCTGGGGAGCCTTCTATGGTCACACCTTGGGAAGCTCTCGAATAACTTCAACTACATCAGGTCTTGAAACCTGTTCGGAGAACAATCCACCTGTTGTTCTTCTGCAATCTGCATAGACGCTTCCATAGGTGCTCAGTTCCAGTAATTTCCTGTATCTCGGGTACCAAGAATTACAATGTCAGGAAGCAGTACAAATTTGTATATAAAATTCTCGATAAATTGAAGATCACTCTGCTTTCTTTTATCTGATATATGTGCAATTCTTTGACCAAACAACGAAAGTAACTTTATTGTTCTGACCTTATAACATCACGAATGCTTATGTACAAAAGAGTATGAATCAAATTACAAAATGTAATGCTGGTCAAACGTAGCACCCTACCATATCTCGAGCGATAAGATCACAGTGCCTTCACCCCGGCCGCTTGAGCGATAAGATCACAGTGCCTTCACCCCGTCCGCTTGAACAGTGCCTTCACCCCGGCAGCTTGAGTGCAAAACAAAGCCACTCGGTTTTCACTGTACACCCTATTCTTTTCACGAACAGCCTTCACCTCTACATTTTCTTGTACAGCATAGATATCCAGTTTCCAATACACAGGTCGATAGCTCGCTTTGCAAGTTGCAACTAAATCATTTCACATCATCCTCTTCCAAGTCACTAAAAGACACGTCTTCCTCGTCACCTATGTGGATAGTTGGGTGGCCAGCAAGATCGGCCTCCTCGTCGAACCAATCGTCTATGTCATCATCAAAGGCCTCTTGCAAAACATTTGAGGTCTCAGTATGATCCTTGGGCAGCTCCTCTTTGATGACCGATTTGTCCACAACTGCAACTTCAGTTACTTGGATAGGATGCTTCTCAATCTCAATTTCTGTTATGGGCATAACAGAAGCTGCTTCACGTCGCATGAATGGGAATGCTTCTGTAGCATCTTTCAAGGTGTCCCCTCGTAACTGAACTCCAAGATCATCCTTATGATGACCTAGCTGCTCAGTTTCAAGCTTTGACTGGTAATGCAAACGTTGCATAAGCATTGCTCTAGCTTCCACGATCTGCAAGAATAAGAACTGGACTTAGATTACAGGCTCAGGCAGGTATCATTATTCGTGGAATAAACTGTTTGATACCAGCAGAAATGGCAAATAATCATGTCTTTAGTTATGATGATTGCATCAACCATGGCAACTGATATTCTATTGGGCATCCCTCCTTTTGGTGCACCCATGACATAAATGGACTCCAAAAGTTCAAGAAAGTCAACTTGGGAGAAAGTGTTCCGCCACAGTGCAAATCTAATTTATAGAAAGAACAAAAAATGTGCAGAATATTAGTCACTAAAGCAAGCAGTTTTGATCCTGGATGGGTTCCACTTTTAATTACTTTTTAACTTTTCCTCACTGGTTCCTCTACTGATTCCACTTTTAATTACTTTTAAACTTTTCCTCACTGGTTCCTCTATTGATTGAGTCGGAGTTTGAAATTTTAGCAAGACAACTCATGCCAAACTAACTTTATTTGATTTCCGGTCGTCAACACTAGGGTGCAGGGGAGCATTGGGAACATGCAATCAGTTTACTTCAAATTAAACCATCACAAGCAAACACATTATAATATTAGCTTTGTTCTCAACCAGAGAAGGTTGGATAACAGGCAAGGGCAACAGTCAATTGAAGATAAAGACTGTATACTTCTAGTCCTCTTTATGCAGGATCTTGCAAGTGCTTAATTAGAATTTTGTTTAACCATGTCTCATAAAAAAAAGGAAGTTCTTGGACCATTACTGCACAGCACACATGGATGGACATAGGCCATGGGCCTCTACTACTAAATTCCCTTTAATATAATAATCAGATAGGCAGAATTTTCTACACTTAGTTTGCCTAATTTGTGATGTCACTGAAAAAGCCTAATAATTGCACAAAATACTCTGTTTGGCATCTTCTGAGAGTTCATATTGAGTAACTGGCCCTAACTGCTAGCTATTACAATATGCCCCTTGCTTGAATCGTCAAATTTAGAGATTCAACTTTTCACCAATGAGTTAACCCCCTCTTCGGCGGTTTCCAGTGCAAATCGTGTCCGATGCAGCTTACAGCGAGCCATGTCCTGGGTCCTAAGTTGCACGGATTGGGCTGCCGGTCTTAGGGGGGGTTTCTCAGTCCCGCAGACAATAAACTTCATCTTAGCGCAGCACCGTGGTGAGGTCTCCCACAGGGACCGAGTTTTTACTACATCAATAAGGAATCTACGGTGCATGCAAACTAGAGGTTAGAGAAATCTAGCCACATAAATCTAAAGTATGCCTACAAATTACCTAGAGCTTCCAAATCTAGTTAGGGAGGTCTGAAACATGCTGGTATGATCATATTTCTAGACAAATAAAAGACAACCAATTTGACATGACTCCTCAAAAGTATGCGCAAAAATGCATATTACATATAATCTAGTTAGGGAGGCAGGCATCGCTTGTCATCAAATCTAGTTAGGGAGCTTCCAAATCCAGTTTGAAGGAAGCTTATCTACTACTCACTGCAAAAGATAAGGAAGCAATCTCATATATTGCTGCAACATGTAGGCACACACATGCAAGGGCAAAGGATCCGATATGGCTAGGTATGGCGGACACCATACCTCGACTTCCTAGCTGATCTCCCCCTGAACTGCAAGACACGCACCCCGTCCGCTGATCGGCCATGGACATCAAAGCAAGCTTTGAACACAGTCTGCCCAATAGACAGGAGGAGGAAGGAACAAATGGTTTTTATAGGTCGTGGCTTTGGGCCTTGCTTATGGTATGGGCCATCGCTGTGTGCTCTGCCTCTTTATCATCTGGACAACCACCCGTACGTATTCCGTTCCCATCCGGCTGTCCGTCTATACTCTATAGTATCCCAGTCCCAGACAATTCGTAGATTCGAGTTCTGCTGTGCTGCCGATTTTGCAGAGTGCAGATGCCTAGGGCTTAGGCGCCGATGCGGAGGCGGAGACTCAGTGAGCCGGCGAGGCAGTCACACAAAGACAGCGACAACACACTGATGCAGAGGAACAGGCGCACAAACACCGGACGCACGCTGATCAGAATCAGGGGGAGAATAACTTCAACTATGTTTACTGTAAGGCCCAATTTGCAGTAGCATAAGCTTTTTTTCAATTATTGCTTACTTGTTTATTTATTTGTTTGTTTAAATTTGGTATTAATTATGAAGAACAGGGCAAAGAATTAAGTAAAGATGAACTCAAGAGTGCAGATAATTTTGTACTTGGCGAATACAAAATCATTAAATCTTGCATGTGTACAAAACATTTCAAATCTTCAGTCGTACTCAACCTATGTTACCTACTTCGGCACTTCACCACACCTTAGTTTAATTCCTTCCTCCGCCATTACACACATGCAGAAGTAACGATGTTCATACTTTACCGTGTTGTTTTCTGTCTCCCATTACCATTTATGTCCAAGTACATAAACTATGTTTTTTCTCCTTTATGGAGTATGGACACTTAATGTGGGACAAGTTGGTCATCTGCCATGAAATTTCTAGATTTGACGACAATCTGTGTTTATGATCAAAATATGCCTGGCGCTATGGAAGAGACGACATAATTTGCAGTTGCTAGCTTCAAGAGAAGCTAGAAAAAGGTTATTTCAGCTTCCTTCATCAGACCACTAAATATCATGTTTAATTGTATGGTGCGCTGGTGTGAACCAACAACGCTTATGTCTAGTAGTTGAGTATGAAACTAGAAATGTGCTACCACATACGTAGAACTAAATCAAGAATCAAGATCTCTTGAAAGTAAACACAAATTATATGGCTAAGCTATGATGTCTAAGAGCTCAGGCAATCATAAGAATATGCTACCTATTGTAAGTTTGACTCTGCTCGTTCAGCCATAATTACTTCGAATGGTAAGCACCTATATCAACACTGTTGATATTGACAGATGGGATTCTTTTCTTTTTCCCATACAGCAACCCCTAGAAGTTCTCGTGCATCATGTATCACATTAATGAAATAAATAAATCCATAAAGAATGATGTAAACCACAAAAGAGATGTCTTGAGAAATATTCTAACATAACAAATGTCAAGTCAGAACTACCTAGATATTTGGTACAAGAATAGCATCACAAGCCTTAACATAACCACATATAGCTTTACTACTTATATATGCTAATTTTCTGGAACAATGTTAACCATGGAGATAATTTAGTATCAAGAGTAAGGAGAATTTTACCTGTGGTGTAGATAGAAGCTCAGCATCATGCTTGTTCAGTCTAGGATGTAGAAGAACAAAGTAAATTTTCCAAAAACATTCTTCACTCATATGGACCGGGCATAGTTCAATCCGCAAAGCTGCTAATCTGGGAGCAAGATGCTCAATAGCCAAGGAGTGCTCTTGTTGAGCATCAGACATGTCAAAATCTGAAGGAACAAAAAGTTCAGGTAAGCACTTCTATATGTACAAAATTGGTAGAAAAAAACAATGAAAATGCGGAGCAACCAAGACATTAAGCCGATTGTAGTTAACATATGAAGAGTTTTTTCAGTTACAGTAGCGCCAACATGCCTTGAACCTAGCAACACATCTTCCAATGGTAAACTTGAAACTTTACATATCATTTCACTGAGAATCAATATGAATAACTTGAAGAAAGAGGTGAAGAAATTACATGAGAATGGTCCATCAGCCTCGTCATCGTCAGGCAGCAGCGGGAAGTCGAGCCAGGTCTCCGGGTGCCTGGCAATGTTTGTGGCAAATGCAAGCACCTCCTCAGTGATTCCAATCACATCCCAGTCCTCCTCCACTTCCTCCTCCTCCTCATGCCTTACTCTCAGCTCCTCTGGTTCGCCATCCTCCTCATGCCTTGCTCTCTGCTCCCCCAATTCGCCATCATCCTCATGCCTTGCTCTCAGCTCCTCCAATTCGTCATCTTCTTCGTCGCTTACTCTTTCCATCTCCAACTCATGCCTTGCGTCGCCATCCTCCACCCTAAGGCCTACCCTCTCTTCCCACTGATGCCACTCCTCGTCGCCTTCCTCCACCTCCTCTTCCATCTCATACCTAACATGTCGTCTCCGCTCTTCCTCCCACTCGTTCTCCGCGTCGTCATCAGGAGCGAAGAAACTAGAGGCCATCCTAGAGAACCCAGACACGGCCTTGTGACCTGAGATCCGGGAGATCCCGCTTCTGAACCGCCCGCCGATCTCAGCGAAGTCGTTCCGGATCCCGGCGATCTCGGGCGGTGTCCTCGCATCGGCGGATTGACCCTCCGCCGATTGAGGGGAGGGTGAGGGCGACGGCGAGGTCTCCCCGGGCGGTGGCGCGAGGAAGTTGGCGACGCCCCAGAACTGGCGCGTTAGGGTTTTGGAGAGCTCGGTGAGGTCCTCCTTGACGCCCTCCGCTGCGCCCGAATGCAGCGGGTGAGTGGGGAGCGGCGGCGGCGGCGGCGGGATGCGCGCGGAGGGGGAAGGGGTGGTGGTGGCGTCCGGGTCATCGTCGGCGCCTGAATCGTCGGGGATGTTGAGGGACGTGGCGAGAGAGCGGGCGAGCCATGACATCTCCGGCGATCGCCGGCGGCGGGGCAGTTGGGTTTGGGATTCGGGTTGGCTAGGCTTGGGTTGGTTGGTTGGTTCGGTCCAATCGGCCGCTCGCTTTTCTTCGGGTGCCTGCTTGCTTGAATTGAAATGGACGGGATTGGGAGAAGACAGAAGAGACAGGAGGGACGGCTCGTTTGCTGAGTTGCCACTGGTCCCGGCCCTCGTGGCGCTCCTGGTTTCCCCTGTTCGTGTTCCTCCAGGCTCCAGTGGTCCACCATCACCCTACTACTACCCTACCTCGTGGCGACAGTTCGTTTGAAACTTGTAAATTTTGAAAAGTTATTAAATTGCCCTCCATTTCTTTTCTTTACAGAAACCAAATGCTACGAAGTTTTTAAAACTGTCACCGTGAAAGATAAAAGTTAGCTGGATTTGAATTAGTTTGACTTGCACGCTCGAATCGCAGGCTTGCAAGCTACCGCTAAGCCCAATTAATTGCCACGTATGGACCACTGAATCAACCGGTAAAGTGATCCTACTTTGTACGTAATCAATGCGATCTGATCTGCGATGATGTAACGGACTAACGGATCATGTCATTCTTACATTGTGTTGTGCCGTAGAGAACTAGAGATCGACGTTATGACATGTACCGTACCGTTGTTTGTATTCGCACAAGCAAAGCACTTATTGCAAACCATGCTTTCTTCTATGTTAATCATGCATGTGGGATGCATGCGGTGGCCGGTGGACAAATGACAAATAAGTCAGTTCTGGTGAATCTTGGCACAACCAAAGATGATAGGTCAGAACACCACTTTTCAGACAAAAAATAAAAAGAAAATCAGCAAAGCAAAATAGTGATACTAAATCATCAGCTTATTCTTGCTCTTGTTTTGTTTTTGTTTTTTTAGGGAGAGAAATATTCTTGCTCTTTTTCTGCGCTACCCCATCTTGCTCTTTGTTGTCTTTGGAACAAAAGTCCCAACTAGCATCATCTTGCTCTTCTTCTGCACTACCATTTTAATTCCTCAGCTTATTCAGCCCTTGGCTCGTCAGACTCCAGCAGCTGGAAACGGTGAAAACAAAATGACCTTTTTTTTAGGAAACCTACAGCGACCGAGTGGTTGCCTGAACTACATCTAATTTGTTCGCCTATAAGAGAACTTGGATCAATTTGAGATACCAGAGTGATTGGACTTCATGAGTCAGGACAATATGATTTAAGTTCGTCCCGCTATCTCAAATTCTTTCTGGGTAAGCCCATGCCTCATGAGTTCGACGCCCCAAAGTCTAAAGTACCATGGGCCATCAGCCCATTCTGGGTTTCCCAGCGTCCTTCGTATAATAACAATAATAACTAAGAAACAATAATCTTCTACAATTAAAAAGAACGGATATTTTTTGGTGCGACATTTGTTTTGTTTCGTCCGTCTGCCCACGTCTGCGATCCCACGACATCTTAATTATTAATTGATCGTGTCATTCTCCTTAATTGAATATTGCCTGTCATGTGATAGAGGAATCACGGCAAAATAGAAAGTAGAAAATTATTGTGCTATCCATATACACATTGCATGTTTGCATGCACCAACATACATGGCAACGAGCAAAAGGAAAGAGAATTAACACAGAAGGAAAGAGAATTAAGACAAAAGGAACCTCTTTGCATTTCTGAGAACCTTGCCAAATCTGCCTACATTTAATTACTTCCCCTCTTTGCATTTGCAAAAGGGACAGCTTTTTCCTCTTTTCATTTGGTTTCACGCTCACGTGTTCCATCGCCCTCGCTTGCTGTTTCTTACGTGAACCATAGTTGATGTCATCTGTCTTCCATGGCTCAGCCTCCCAATCCCAAGAGAAGGTCTCTATCTCTTCCTGACTGGTGATCCGGCCTGCCAGAGGATCTCCTCGAGTCCATCGGGCAGCGTCTCACGTCAGGCCACGACGCGACGTCCTTCCGATCCGCTTGCTCCCCATGGCGCGCCGCCGTCCTGTTCGCGACCTTCGAGCCGCTCCTGCTGCTCCTGTTCGACCTGACTCAGACCGCGTCGGCTTCTACTGCGTTCCGGAGAAGAAAGTCTTGTCCAAGACGCTACCCGACGTGCGCGGCAAGGTGGCGTGCGGCTCCTCGTGTGGGTGGCTGGCGCTCATGGACGAGGCGGCGTCCGTGACGTTACTAAATCCATTCGCCGGTGCCCGTGCCCCCCGCGTTGAGCTCCCGCCAGCAGGCGAACACGTCGCGGCGGCGTCCTCATCGGAACGCGTGTCTAGGGTCCACGACCGGTGGGTCCTCCATCCCACCAACGGCTACGGGAACGCGGATGCCACAGGTAGAGCCATCAAGCTAGAAGACACGAGGGACGTGTTCTTCCGTGAGATCGTGCTCTCGGCGCCGCCTGACGCCGCCGGCCGCGAGTGTGTGGCCATGGCCATGCTTGGTTGCTCCACGGAGGTCGCGTTCTGCCGGGTTGGAGTCGACAGCGCATGGACGCTGCTCGACACCAAACTGGAGTTCTCCGTGGGGTCCATCGTCCACTGCCAAGACAAGTTCTTGGCGATCGACTGCACTGGAGAAATCTCCGTCTTCAGCAGCAACGTCGCCGACACTACTCCAACCGCGACGCTGCTGCCATCGCTGTCGCCACCTGTGGGGCTCTGCCACCGCAGCTACCTGGAATCAAACGGTGAGCTGCACATTGTGGGTGCCATGGTGAGCACGTTCCACGAGACACAGAGCTTCACCTACAGCAGCGTGATCTACAAGTGCAACCTCCACGACCGTACGCCGAAGTGGTCCAGGGTGAGGGATATCGGTGATCAGACATTGTTCGTGTCTAAACATTTCAATGAAAACTTCAGTGGAACAAGTGTATCCAAGTATAAAGAGAACAAAATCTACATGTCTGAGCCATTGTATGGGGATACATACGACTTAGTCCATCGACTGGAGATCGTTGATATTGCTACCGGCGCATCCGAAGTGAAGCCCGTCCAGGAAAAGATGCAAGATTCCGAGGCCCTTGGATTCGATCCAATCTCTGAAAGCTCTAGAGTTTGTGAGCCTGCGACGCCACGCACCCCGTGACTATTAAATTCATAAACTTTGCTTTTTGGATTAAATGTCACTTTAACATTAATATTTAATTTAACAATATTATTATCTTATCGTGCAATCCATGTGTTTTTAGTATAAATTATTGGTTATCCCGTAGCAACGCATGAACACGCTACCTAGTTATTAAAAAAAACTAAGAAACAATTTGCCCCAAGTAAAACTAATGAGTCATGACTATATGATTAAGCACGATGTGCTAAAATCACTCGCTGTTTATGCCCATGCTGGATCTGAGGTGTTTCTCCCAGCTGATTGGGGCCGTTCGGTTAGCCCGTTCCGGGCGTTTCCGGGCGTGGAACGCCAGGAATCATTCTGACGGTATGTAAATCAATGAAGGAACAGTGCGGCTGGGAATTATTCCCACGTAACCAAATGAAGCCTCATGAAATTCTTGCCGGAAAAAAGCAAAGCAACATGATGCATGGCATGAATGCGTCTGCCCAATCAGAGTTCTGGTGAATTCCTTAACGAATCAGGAGCACGTCAGGGCATCGCAAGTAAGATCTTTTTTCCCTCATCTTCCACTCTCCAGTCCAGGCCAAATAATCCGCAAAGTGAAAAAAAAACTTGTATCATGTTGAACCATTTCTAAGTTCTTAAGTAAGCCGACCCGGTATTAGAGGTCATCAAGCCCGTTTAGCTGTCAGACGACCTTACACGTAAACTGTTGTCCTGTCCTTTTACCTCCGGAACTAAATCCTGCTAGAATGCTAGTCCACCTTTTTGTTGCCTTTGGAACTATCATCATCTTGCTCTTCTTCCGCACCGCCTTCCTCTGCCTCAACTTTTGACTCGTCAAACTCCAGCAGCTGCATTTGTAAGAAATGTGGTCAGAACTCAGAAGGTCCTGCATTCTGATACATATTTTATAACAGGCCTACTTTTGTGGGAAACAAAAAGGATAAAACTTTGTCAAAGCAACCCCCCCCCACACACACACACAAAAATGGTACAAAAATGGAACAAACGACCAGGAGATGGAACTACAGATCGCCATCAACATTCTTGAGTTCAACCATCAACAAATGTAATAGTAATAGTTAATACCAACTCAGCACAAGGACAAGTTCTTCATGACTAACAGTAGTACTGATAAGTACAGGTACCCAAATGTACAAATGAAAGGGCCATACGGTGCCTGAGTAAGTCAGATACTCCAAGTGAAGAAATCAGATTGCAAAACAAGAGTTATTTGTATTCTTTAAAAGACACTAGTTTTACACCCAATACTAAACTGTAGTAACTGTTCTAAGAAGTTTATTTTTGCCATGAGATCCTATTCTTGCATGCGCAACGCTAGTTTTTAAGATGTGACATTGTTTTGTAGTAACAGCTAAGAGACAAGCATCAACCAAGCAGAAAATTCAGGAACACAATTAGGTCCATCCAAAGAAGCATATTTACTGTGTCTAACAGTTCATCTTTTATTTAACTTTTATGCTACTCAAAGTTCAAGGCAAAGGATGAGTTAAGAGGCTAAACAAAACTTTTTCTTTGGAATGGTAGCCGCAGTAAGTATTCAGAATCTGACCTGTTTCACTTCTCCATACCACAGACTGGGAACAGCGACGAAACCGATCACACCAGGAACGAGGTATAGTAGAGCAGGCTGCAATAAACCCCAAAAATAATCATAGTACTAATATTAGCGGGATGACAGAAACAAGGGGAAACAAGACAATATAAACCTGAGTAACAGAACTCACCTGTGCAGCTTGAAACCAGTTCATTATAATGATGGTCACCATCATACCCACAGCGTATCCCAAAAATGCACTGTTGAAGTAACGGTTCTTGATACCTCTTGAGACATCAAAGCGCAAGGCAAGTGCAACAAATATACCTGGAAGCAAAAGTACAAATACATATTATGTGCTTAATGACTTGGAAACTGCCTAAATTC